GCTCTATAGATAGACACACTCCATACCCCAACTCAGATCTGACACCTCCTAGGTGACATCTGAATACCCTTTGCAGGTTTTCAAGATGTCAGCTGCATAAACCTCTAAACTCTTGTAGGGTTTCTGTGGACAGAGAATTTTATAGAATCAGCAATGGCAGATCAACGCCGAAAGCAAGGACACGGGTGGTAGGGAGCAGCAGACGCTGTCCACTCTGGGTTTCAGGTGAACGCCTTCCAGGCCAAGGAGTCAGACCGACGGGTTGGGAGGCTGTGACGCCTTGGGGAAGTGGCTTCACCTTTCTGAGCTTCAGTCCCCCTCAGGGGACACGAAGACAGAGGCTGCTCGGTGCAGCTACTGATGGGGTCAAAGAACACATGCCAACTGCAGTGCTTCTGGGGCACTGCAGACCCTCTGTAAGGGCTGACTTGCAAAAGGGAAACTGGATCAACAGAAATAAAGATTGACAAAATAAAAATATAGCAAAGAGAAAAACTCAGGTGACTCCTTGTCCATTTAAGCAACAAGTTCACAAATGGCCGTAAACCTGCAGATGGTGTAAAGTGGATGCATCAAAGGCCACTGAGCTGTGTTCTCCTTATGCGCCCGAGACAGTTTCCTGGCCCCGAGCAGCATGGCGCTGCCCAGGAGCACCCTGGCACCAAGAAGCTCAGGCTGGAGTGTCTGTACTTCAAACATGTTTCTTTATGAAAAGGAACAAGCCAGTACTATCTCAGGAATTAAAAAAAAAAAGACAAGCTTTTTCCCTAGAAGTAAGCTCAGCAAGTTGACTGCCCCTGCCCCCATTTACACAGGGCCTCCATTATTCCCTGTGTCTGCGCAGGCCAGGCTGGCCCACGCCTGATGCCCAAGGATGGTAGACAGTCCCACGCGCTTGGCACTCCCAGTGAGCTCTCAGCCCTTTATTTCTTTATAGGACTGAATACAGCTGTGTCTTGAGTCACACTAGACTCTCAACAATGATAGGTAATTAAGTATGTCCACGTGCATTTAAAATTAGTTCCCAAAAAAGCTTCTGCACAGCAAAAGAAACAATCATCAAAATGGAAAGGCAACCCACTGTATGGGAGAACATCATTGCCAATGATGTATCAGATAAGGGGTTAATTTCCAATATATATAGAGTGCTCATACAACTCCACAAAAGGAAGACAAAGAACCCAATTAAAAAATGGGCAGAGGAGCTGAATAGACACCTCTCCAAACAGGACATACAAATGGCCAAGAGACATATGAAGAAATGCTCAACATCACTAATCATCAGAGAGATGCAAATTAAAACAACAATGAGGTATCACCTCACACCTGTCAGAATGGCCGCCATCAACAAATCATCAAACAACAAGTGTTGGCGAGGGTGTGGAGAAAAGGGGACTCTAATACACTGCTGGTGGGAATGCAGACTGGTGCAGCCACTATGGAAAACAATATGGTGCTACCTCAAAAAATTAAAAATTGAACTTCCATTTGACTCAGTGATCCCACTGCTGGGAATATCCCCTAAGAAGCCTGAAACACCATCAGGAAGAATATATGTACCCCCATGTTCATAGCAGCACTATTTACAATAGCTAAGATCTGGAAACAGCCCAAGTGTCCACCAGTAGTCGAATGGATAAAAAAGCTGTGGTACATATACACAATGGAGTACTATGCAGCGGTAAGAAAGAAAGATCTCTTATCCTTTGAGACAACATGGAGGGACCTGGAAAGTATTATCCTAAGTGAAAGAAGCCAAGCAGAGAAAGACAAATACCACATGATCTCACTTATATACGGAATATAATGAACATAACAGTCTGAGGAATACAGTAGACCCAGACACATGGAAGTAGGGCACAGACTGACATCCCTCAGAAGAGGGGATGGGGGGGCGGGGGGGTGGGAAGAGATAAACCACAGAACTTATATGCATGTATGCATGACCAATGGACATGGACAACTAAGCCGGGGACAGGGTGGGGGGGGGGGTTGGGGGGTGCCAATGGGGTAAAAAGGTAAAATATCTGTAACAAAAAAATAAATAAAAATTCATAAAAAACAAACAAACAAAAAAACAAAAACAAAACAAAAAATAAATAAATAAATAAAATAAAATTAGTTCCCAAAAGTCTGGAATCTGAAAAGGCTATGAAAAGGCTATGACATGATTTACCAGCCTTGGTTATAAAACAACATTGGGTATTGTATACCCTGAAGGAAAGTCCAGTTGTAGCTGCTGGAAAGAAATACCACATGCCCACGAGTCACTAAGTGGGCAAAATCAGATGCTCCTGCCCCCAGGCATCAGGCCCAGGACAAGCAGGAGAGAGAACTCATTTCAGGAGAACTGCAAGTAAGTGGACTGCCAGCCTGGTCAGCACAACTGCCTTGCAGAGCAGAACTGGAATAAAGTGGCTGTAGTTCTGGGAAGGAAGCAGCTGGAGCAGGAAGGAAGGGTACAGCGGTGACTCACAGCAGCCCAGCGACTGCAGATTAGCTGAGCGATATGGGAGGGGTGCAGAGCACGAAGGGATGGAAGTTGGGGAGACAGGAAAAGAGCTGATGGAGGTACTGTACGCGGAGCCGAGGCAGCCAGGGAGCCTTTCCTTTGACAGAGGGAGGTACTGCTGTGCGAGCAACTGGCAGGAGGCAGAGGCTGCTGAGGAACAACGAGGAGGTGTTGGAAGGCTGGTCACCCCAGTGAAGCCCTCTGCCTTCCCTGGCCAGGTCCCTCCTCAGAGCACAGTGTCCACACCCCAACAGCACACAGCTCGGCATTCTGTAACGAGGTTCGGTGCCACCCTCCTCCACCAGACGAGGCCCTCTTACCCTGGCCCAGGTGAGCAACTGTTGGCTGAATGAAGCAAGGTAGTGGAGGCACGCTCGGCCGCACGGCCAGAGCAGAAGCCACTCACTGAAGCCAGAGGATGTGAAGGGACATGGGTTCCTGGCCACCAGAAAATGAAGGGGAAGTGAGCTGACCTCGACTCCTGACCAGGGTACCAGTGGATCGGGAGAGTCAGGCCTGTGGACTGTTTTCAGCTGAAGTGATGAGCTGAAAGGCTAGACTGAGAGCCAGGAGGGCTGTCTGTTAGTCCTGGCCAATCATTTACAGAGTAGGTGACCCTGGAGAAACCACTTCCCCTACTTTGCCCACCCTTGTAAAATGAGGGAGATGAAGGAGTCAGGCTAAACCTCTGGTTCCTAAACCTAGTTGCTCATCAGAACCAGCTGGGGAGCTTACACACACACACACACACACACACACACACACACACTCACTCACCCACCTGGGCAGCTTATACACACACACAACCACCTGGGGAGCTCACACACACACACACACACACACAACCACCTAGAAAGCACACACACACACAACACCACCCAGGGAGCTTACACACACACACACACACACACACACAACCACCTGGGGAGCTCACACACACACACAACCACCTGGGGAGCTCACAAACACACACACACACACAACCACCTAGAAAGCACACACACACACACACACAACCACCCAGGGAGCTTACACACACACACACACACACAACCACCTGGGGAGCTTAGACATACAGGCATGCACATGCACACACGCACAAACCCTGAATCAGAAGCTCTGGTGTAGGGTCTGGAAATTTACACTTGTTAACGCTCCTGGCTGCTTTTGATGATCACTGGGACCAGAGGGACTGAAGGCACTTTTGGCATCAGAAGAAAATAATTTTATGAAATGCAAACATATTTTTAAAAGCATTTTTTCTATACTTTTTCTTAGAAGGGCCACATCCTTTTCTTTCCTCAGAGATGTGACAGAATTGACCCCGATACCTGAGGGCGAACAGCAGACCACCACTCCCCCCTGTGAGCACACACTCCTGGGGCTGCTAAAAGGTTCAGCTACGAGGTGGGGGAGCCAGAGCCACTGTACACACGCTCACAGGCCGCAGGCAAGAATGGGGGTAGGGTGTGGCCCCAAACCAGGTTGGTTAGGTTGAGCCAACCTTCCTCCTAGGGCTCCTCCAGGTCCAGGCAGTGACATCGGGTTCTAGGCCTCAGGCACACGGTGACAAGTGGTGGCATCTCAGTTCTACACTAGTCTCACCACCACCACCTCTCACCAGCTCCGCTGGTTATGCCTCCACTGTACTAACTCAGCGACTGTCAGCCGGAGTGCTGCAAGGATTTCTAAAACATGCAGTACCCAACTATTTAGTCAGGGGCACTGACCTCTTTTCTCTCAGACTGTCAAATAAAAAAATGACAACAGTCAACACAATAGCCATCTGGTGTAAAAGAATAAAAATTATAGCTATTTTTTTTTAATCCTCCCACGGATATTTCTCCATTGATCTTCAGATAGAGTGGGAGGGAGGGAGAGAGGGAGACAGAGAGAGAGAAACATCAATGTGAGAGAGACACACCAACTGATTGCCTCCTGCACGACTCAGACCAGGGCTGTGATCAAATTGCAACCAAGGTTCATGCCCTTGATCGGAATCACACCCACAACTCTTTGGTCCACGGGCTGACGCTCTAACTGCTGAGCCAAACTGGCCAGAGCAAATACCTATATTTTTTGTCAGATCTGCAAAAAATATATATTTCGTGTGCTGCAGACTTTCAGTGATCAGTTTGTGCGCCAGGAGATGAAGGAGGTTCGAAGCCGCTGTCCTAACTTCAGTGAGCGCGCTGATCCCAGTGCTTGGCAAGCCTGTCGCCCGGAACCCTCGCGAGCACCTGTGACGCGCTCTTCTTAGCTCCATTTTACAGATTAGGAAACAGGTTTGGAGAGGGTAAGCTGTTTGCCCTCGGTCAGAGAGCTAGGGGCCAGACTCTAAACAAGAACACTGACCTCAAGGCTCTCTTCTAACCCACAAGTTCCATTCCCTAAGTCTTCTGGGATGGGGCAGCCCCTTTCTCACAGAGGAGAATAGAAAGCACCCCCCGGCTGAGACTGCCGCCCTCCAGGGCAAGTGCTGGCTTACCTTGGCCAGCCGCGCCCGCTTGATGAGGTCGTTGAGTTTGCGCACTGCTGCCTTCTGAGGAAGGCTCTGTATGTCTCGGAAGAGGTCCTGGGCCTCAGCCTCGAAGAGCCGGCGGTTGTCGGTGTTCTGCAGAGGCTGTGCCCAGAAGGAGCCGATGTAGACACGCAGCACCTCGGGTGTGTTGATGACCTTGCCCAGGGACCACATGAGGGCCCCGTAGACTCGCATCAGCTGCTGCGTGTCCACTTGGTCGGCCTTGTTCAGCACCACGCGGATCTTGTCGTCCTGGCCCCGGAAGGCCTTGATGGCCTCCGAGAACTCATCCGAGATGTCCAGTTTGTGAGCATCAAAGAGCAGGATGATCCTGTCCACCCGCTCAGCGAACCACTGCAGGACCTGGCAGAAGTCGTACCCTAGGAGGAGAGAGGAGCACGTCAGTATGGCCACGGCTGTGTGTGGGAGACACGTAATAAGATTCCAGGGATCTCTGGTTCTCTAGCAGCAGCAGTGGAGGCCTCGTGACCCGAAAGTCACTTCAAATGGGGCCCCCTGGATTGGATGATCTAGTTAAAGCTGGGGATCCTGGTTGCCCCTCTGTGGCTCATGTCATTTTGGGTATCGCTTACTTCCATAGCTGTAATTTCATTTAGTCCTCATGAGCCTCTTATTTTACCTAGCATGGTCCTTGGATGAATGGAAGAGCTAATCACGGCTCTATAAATTCGCAGGCCATGGGTCAAAAGCTCCTACTTCTACCACAGTCTCACTTTTCTGAAAGCACCGGAGATGGAGAAGGAAGACCTGGAGGCCACCTGGAATCCCACTGGGTGCCCAGTAAGCACAACGAAAAAGGACTTGCCTTCTCTTAACCCAAGTTTTTAAGAATGTCAAGGAGGTCAAAGGTTGGGCTGGCTGAAATTGTAACCAGTATTTATCATTTGGACTATTTATATCTTAAAAATGTTGTAAATATTTTAAAAATCATGTCTCACAGCCATTCTGTGAAATGGTCTCTTGCCAATATCTTTTTTTTTTTAAAGTGGCCAGGCCCATCACAAGTTCTGTTTAGTTTGCTTTGGCCACGTACCAATATGCTTCAAATCCTGAAGTTAAATCAACACTCATCTCAGCCTGTGGTCAAGACGGTCAGGCATTTCCCCAGGGAGCAGTCTCACGAAACGCAAACAAGAGAAGGCCAGCCCCACAGGTTTACTTAAAAAAAATTTTTTTTTTCTTTGTTGATTTTGGAGAGAGCGGAGAGAGGGAGAGAGAGATAGAAAAGTTGATGAGAGAGAACATCGACTGGCCACCTCCTGCATGCCCCCCACTGGGGATCTGGCCCACGACCTGGGATTGTGCCCTGACGGGAATCAAACCGGCGACCTCTTGGTGCCTGGGTCGATGCTCAACCACCGAGCCACACCGGCCAGGCGCCACAGGTTTACTTTTAATCTCAATCTGATTAGCTGGGGACCAGAGGCTCAGTGCAGCGAGTCAGGGCCGGAGGTAACTTCCTTGGCTCCTGCTTTAGCGTTATCTCGTTTCAGATTTTGAAAACTTCCAAATGCATAAAAGCTGAGAGAATTGTAACATGAATGTTGATAATACCCACCAGGTAACTTTAATAAATTCTGACACTTGGCCCTGTTTGCTTCAGATACTTTAAAACATTTAAGTCTAGTTTATTTATATAACAAAATACCATACAGTACTGAGGATGAACTAGATTTTCACTTGTCAATACAGGCCAATCTCCGAAAAACTGGTGAGTAAAAACATCAGTTTCCAAAGAACAAGTACAGTGTGATAACTTTCAGGTAAAATGCTAAAAAATAAAGCAATACTCAACAGCCTATAGATACATACTGCAGCACAAATACAAAAACATTAACAACCACTTTGGGATATTGGGAGTGAGAGATCTAAGAAGAATGAGAAAGCGTCTAGAGGACAATGATCTATTAGACAGAAATAAAGGGGATCCCTGCACTAAAGTTTCTATGAAATCTGAAGAGCAGCTGTAAGGGGAGCAGTTGAACAAGCAAACTGATTCAGACACTTAAAAAAAAATGTTTTTGTTGATATTTTTTAGAGACAGAGGAAGGGAGAGAGAGAGAGAAACATTGATCAGCTGTCCCTAGACCACAACCCGGGCATGTGTCCTGACCTGGAATCGAACCGGAACCTCTCAGTCTATGGGATGACGCTCAATCCACTGAGCCACACTGGCCGGGCTCAGACATTAAGAAAAAAAAATCCTCACCCGAGGACATGCTTAGAGAGAGGGGGAAGGAAACACTGATTGGTTGCCTTCCACAGGTGCCCCATCTGGGGCTGAACCTGCACCCGGACATGTGCCCTAACCAGGAATCAAACTAGCAGCCTTTTGGTGCACAGGGCAGTGCTCAACCAACTGAACCACTCTGGTCAGGCAGACACATGTTTTTTTTTAATCCTCACCCGAGGACACTTTTCCATCCTTTGTTCAGGTAGAGTGGGAGGGAGAGAGAGGAACAGAGAGAGAGAGAGAAACATCGATGTGAAAGGAACACATCGAGTGGCTGCCACCCGCACAACCGACCAAGGCCGGGGACAAACTGCAACCAAGGTATGCGCCCTTAGCGGGAACCGAACCCGGGTCTCCCAGGACCGCAGGCTGACGCTCCAACCGCTGAGCCAAACCGGCCAGGGCAGGCAGACACATTTTAAAAAAACAAACGAAATGGCCCAGGCCGGTTTGGCTCAGCGGTTGGAGCATCGGCCTGCGGTCCAGAGAGTCCCGGGTTCGGTTCCCACTAAGGGCATGTACCTCGGTTGCAGTTTGTCTCACATCGATGTTTCTCTCTCTCTCCTTCCCACTCTATCTGAACAAAAAAATGAAAAAATGTCCTCGGGTGAGAAAAAAAACAAACGAAATGTCCAACAATGCTGAAGGCCCCTGGGCACCTGTCCCCAAGTCCTTTACTGAACCTCCTTGCGGAGGAAGCCACTGTCCGAGCGGTATTCATCGTCACCACACGTGTGTGTGTGCCCCAGGTCACGCGGCTCACTTCTCTATTCTGCCTCCCTCTCTCATTCCCTGGGGAGGAGGGCAAAAGCAGTTCTTAGAATGTGGCCTGAATTTATTTTCATTGCTGTTAGCAGCCAGTTTAGAACAGAGGAAAATAAAAAACCTACTGAACCGGTCACACAGTAGCATGTAATGATTCAGAGCCAAGATTTCACTCAGAGTTCTGCTCCTGTGAGACCAGAACAAACTGTCTCCTGAGACAGGAGTGAGTGGTTCATGTCATTCGAGACCGGCTTGTGGGCCAGAGAGCCCCAGATCCCGTAGGATCCTCAGCAGATGAGTGAAGGTGCTGTTCCCTGGGAGCTGGGAGACACGTTGGAGCCACCCACCGGAAGGACGGGCATGTGAACTTACATTTCCATGACTAACCTCGCTCTGACCCAAATGCTCTCTCACTTGGTTTCCTTTGTGACCAAAATCAGGTAAGTGGCTCAGAAACAGGTTAAAGAACATCTGTGTCAGGTGCATGAGTTGCATTTTGCTGAACACGTTTCCTGTTTGGGGTGGGGTTCCTCATGGGCCAAAGAAGCTGAGGTGTGGCAGACAGTCCCTTGCCTCCCTCACGAGCAGGCTGGGGCACAGGAGATGGAGAATCAGACACTCATCACCTTCTACCAGAGCGGGTTGTTCAGTCTGAGGGAAGAGTGCAGACACAGAGGATGCGACTTCATTCACAGTGGTGGTGGCTTCCTAACCTCGTTTTTGAGCCTAGTTTTCCAAACTTCTCAGTAGTTCTGTGAATGACCTGATCTTCTGGAAAATTCCTTTTCTACAAATTAGCCAGAATCAGCTTCTTTGGTTTGCTGCCAAGAACCACAATTGGTAAATAATTTCCCTCCACATTTGAGTATTTCTGCATTCTGAATGTTTCTTACAATCAGTGCCGAAGGGAACTTGTCTCTCCCATAACTGCCACCACCGACCGGGGCACACGCAAGGTCAGCCAAGCAGACAGCATCTCTTCCTCCGAGGGCCACCTGGGTGGGGTCTCGCCCTGACAGCAGCACGTGTTTAAGCTTTAACTTAAACCTGGGTTCCTAATAATTATTTAAAAAATACTTAATTCCAATGCTTTGGTGCAATAAAAAGTTACTGGGCACTGAGCTGCCAGATATAAACTCACTGTAAGTGAATCATCACCCATCTCCAGAGGAATGGCCACGCGGACATATTTTTCTGTTTTAAAATAACGATGAGAGCTTACTAAGGGTTAAGTAGTACAGGCAGGTAGATCAGTGTTTGTCACTGAGCAGATGCAAAAGGATCACTTGTTAGACATCAGGCAATGCAAAGATGAAGAAATCACCAGTGTTTCAGAAGAAAGCGAGAAATTATCGAAGCTGGGAAAGGTTGGTTTACTCACCTCCCATTTTTATTATTATTCATTGGCATTAAGTGCATTCACATGGTTGTGCACTCATCACCACCATCCATCCCCAGAACTTTTTTTTAAAATCCTCACCCGAGGATATTTTTCCATTTATCTTCAGAGTGGGAGGGAGGGAGGGAAAGCGAGGGAGAGAGAGAGAGAAACATTGATGCGAGAGAGACATATCAACTGGTTGCCTCCTGAACGGCCCTGATAGGGCTGGGGACTAACTGCAACTGAGGTCTGCGCCCTTGACCCGAATCGAACCCGTGACTCTTTGGTCTTCAGGTTGACGCTCCAACAGCTGAGCCAAACCAGCCAAGGCCCCCAGAACTCTTCATCTTTCCCAACTGGAACTCAGGCAGCATCTGTCCTTGGTGACTGGCTCACTTCACTTTAACATAATGTCCTTGAGCCACATCTATATTGCAGCCTGTGTCAAAATTGCCTTCCTTTTTCAGGCTGGATTGTTCTGCTCAGTTCTTCTATCTTCATGATATAAGAAGGGCACCAAATACCTACCTACCAAAAAGTTCTGGCTAATTTTTAAGAAATGACTTAATTTACAATATTTAGTCTGCCTAAACAAAGGCAGAAGGAAAACAGTGATTCTGAAGGACCGAGAGACGGCTGATTCTCAAAGTGTGTTCTTGCATTAGAATCAAATAAGAGGCTTACTAAAACTTAGACTCCCAGCCCTGCCCTAGAAATACAGAATCTAAATCTGTGGGTTTGCCCTGGCTGGTTTGGCTCAGTGGTTAGAGTGTCAGCCCGAAGACCGAAGGGTCGTAAGTTCAATTACTGGTCAAGGGCACCTACCTGGGTTTTAGGTTTGATCCTTGGCCCCCGTGGAGGTTGTGCGGGAGGCATCCAATCAATGTGTCTCTCTCACATAGATGTTTCTCTCTTTCTCTCACTTCCACTCTATCTAAAAAGTCAATGAAAAAATATCCTTGGGTGAGGATTAAAAAAAT